TCCAGTAGCAAACTAAGCTACAGTATATAGCTGTTATCTTTCTCTTCAAAGAGCTACTGCCAAGGTTGCTAATCCTTCTTTACATACCTTTTGATAATTGTTTCAGTTATTAACACTTACCTTAAAGTTTGCATGTGTATGTTTGACCCTTTGTTGAAAATAATCTTTGCTGGGACACTCAACATTATATAAAATATAATAATAATTTTAGTAGTGGTCCCTGCAGTGAAAACAAACGAGTACATGATTGCTCTGATGTGAGGAAGTGTTTCTGCACCAGTTTGATTATAATATAGTCGATTGGGAGGCTTTGAGGATGACTGTAGACATTTGTGGTGTTTTTCCTGTGTTTTCCTGAATTGCTAGCATGTTCCTTTCCCAAAATGCAGTCTCATACATGAATCTATGACAATGCATCATTTTTGTAGTGATATCTTCCTGTGTGTTGGAGCAAGATATAATGAACTGACACGTTTCTAAATTCAGGCTCAAAGTAGCCTTGTCCAAGAATGCTATTCACTTCTAAGTAATAGGGTCCTGAGGAGGAACTCGACTTTGTCAGCTACAGAGTGCATCAAATGATATAATATTCGATTGATTTTTTCCCAAGACTGTTTGCATAACAGTGACATCCCCTTCTTATGAAATCCTTCACGTGAAAATTTGTCATTCCGCTCGTTGTAATTGGCAGTCTTCACTGAAATTCGTTTTGACGTTGAAGGTTCAATCCTGCAGTCTTACAAGAGGAGTCCCTTTTTGGCTTGAACAGGACTATGGATTGATTGTTATTCATACATGATGTGCTCAATGCACATATGGAAGCATTGCTGGACCAGGCTTAGAGTTTGGTGAAACGATTTCAGTCTTTTATAACATGGAATTCTTATTTTTTAATCCATTCAGTGAATTGCACTCTGCTAATGGCTAGCAATTTGCTAGTGGATTTTACATTTGTTTTCGGTTGGCGAGAAGCCATTGCCCGTGTTTCATGCCTGCAACTTCGTCACTGTCTGAATTTTTCTTTCTCGACACACCAATTATTTGTAACATAAGAGATTAGATTGGGCAGGGACTTGAGGGATAAGTGCCCTCAGTTCCCAATGACTTCAATGGGAGTTTAGGGTGCATAGCACAAACTTGTATCAAATTCGTCAAGCAGTAGCTGCAGACATGTTTATGTAGAATTCTAGTTCTACAGTCTGCAGAAGATAATTCACATGTGTGTAAGCGGTGTTACCCTAAAGAACAAAACCAGTTGACAACTTATCAGCACATTTAACTCTGAAATTGACTTTTTTGCTTATTCTAAGCCTGCATCACACCATCTTTTATATTTGTTCCTTTTTGGGTTCACCCTAAATCTAATTAGTTGTTGTCCAGGGCTGCTTGAGTGGTTTTGTAAATCAAAGCAGTTTCTGTCAACCATCCCCTTCCTCACAATCCCCACTTTCCCTTAAGAGATTGTAAGAGAAGAACTAAGTAGTGAAGTATGTATTTTGTTTTATATCACAGCTTCTACTTAGTTTATTTTCACCCATCCCGGGAAACGCTCAGGAACACTTACCCGATATCCTGCAGCTGTTGTCACCTCACTCTAGATTGAAGGGGAACCTTCTAAATTCAGTGGGATCTGCAGACACCAGCCATAACCTACAAAGGTTGCTCAAGGTAAAAATAAACTCTGTGTGGTTCTTAATTTTGCTGTGTTGTATGGGACATTGAATAATACTTTTTTTCCAGAGTGTTTTTATTGAGAATCAGAATACTTAATACAGACCAGCTAAAGACTGCTTTAGGGATGGAAAAGCTGCAACAAACTACTAATTTACTGGATTCAACTTAATTGATACATAAAAAGGAAGGAAGGCTGTCAGACTTCAAAAGATGATCCTTCTTTTTCTTGCTTGTCAAAATTAATCTCTTTACCTGTGATAACAGAAATTCTAGATCTTCCATTTAGTTTACAGCAGAGATGGGCCTGAGTTGTAAAGTTCGGATCCAGATGTCCCCGTTGTTTGGGAGGTGTTCAGATCAAGGGTTTTGATTTGGCCCTTAATTGATGATCGGCCATCCACCCTGGATTCAGATCCAAAGTTCAGAAGTATTCAGGCTGGCGATTATGGGGTCTTTACCGATATGGGTATATGAGCCACCCACAAGGTTGGTTTCAGATCCAGGGTTCACTAATGTTTATGGGAGTTTGGATTGAGTGGTTTGGCTGAGGACTATCTTTAGTTCATCCAAACCTGAGACTCCGAGGGTGTAAATTCTCTCACATAGCTGTTGGAAAGCTTTGCGCCAACTCCTGCAAACTAGAATGGTGACTTTTGCACAGCTCTGCTCAGGTGCACCCCTAAGTCAATGCCATAGTCTCCTAAAAGGCCTTTTGTGTGTTTTCTGAGGAGAGGCCCCCTCCCTTAGATCACCATTCCTGAATGAGGTAGGTTATTTGGGAGGAGAGGAGACAATTCAACCCCCTACACCTGCCTTCCTGTGTACCATGGTCTCTGATGGCTCTTGACAATGACCTACAGTATCTACGTTCATATTCACCAGAGGAGTAGGGGGAATCAGCCCCGCCATTTGATTTGGCAAACTGGTAGGCATTATCCTATGAAATGGTTACTAACTGGCGGTTACATGGCAACAGTAGGATTAAGGATGATGCAGCAAAACTTCAATTTATGACCTGTTGTCTGGGATATTGTGAGCAGCCCATTTTAGCTACTGAGTAGAAGATCAGTCTCACTGAAGCAGCCTCTTGTATGTACTTTTTCCTTTTATCGGTTGTTTTGTGTATACTCCTACTCCTCCCTTGGAATAAAGATCATATGGTGTTTAGTTTTTTAAACCAGCAGTGTGATATACAAAATATTTTTCACTCTTAACTTAAAACCAGTCAAATGGATTTTTCCATAGTTCAGGAAATGACTTGCAGGGTGAGACTTAGCCATGATACTTGATTCCGGAAGTAATTTGTTAAAGTTATAGGCCCCTCTAAATGAAGGCTGATAACACAGCAACACTGTACTTGTTTTGTTGTGTATTGTGGGAAGGTGGTATTTTGACTGAAAATAAGGCCCAGACATACTGGTTCTCAAACTGGAGTCCATTGGTTTGCAGAGCCCTTCCTGATGGTCCACAACATGACAATTTTTGAGATCGAAGCTGGGGTGTGTGGGGTGTGTGGGGTGTGTGGGGTGTGTGGGGTGTGTGGGGTGTGGGGTG